TCACCTCCGTCATTAAGAAAGCCCAGCAGAGGATGTACTTCCTGAGGCAGCTGAAGAAATTCAACCTGCCAACACGGACGATGATGCAATTCTACACTGCAATCATCGAGTCCATCCTCACCTCCTCCATCACCGTGTGGTACGCTGGGGCCACTATCAGGGACAAACAGAGACTGCAGCGTGTTGTGCGCTCTGCTGAGAAGCTGATTGGCTGCAGACTCCCATCTCTGCAGGACCTGTACACCTCCAGGACACTGGGGTGTGCAGCTCGGATCTCAGCTGACCCTTCTCACCCTGGACACAGTCTGTTTGACCTGCTCCCCTCAGGCAGGAGGCTCCAGTCCATTCGCACCAGAACCTCTCGCCATAAGAACAGTTTCTTCCCCTCTGCTGTTGGACACACGAACAATAACCGTATGACTGTTCCCACCACTAACACATGACCCTACGCTGTGTTCACTGCATCATTCCATGTTTGGCACTGATCACCACCTGCACTCATGTATATATCTATCTACTTAGCACTTTTAATTCTTACTCTATTTTTATTTTCATGTCTATTTAAGCGTTATATGACAGTATGTTTGCACTAAGTACCGCAGCAATTTCCTAATGTTGTAAACCTGCTCAACATTTGGCAATAAAACCCTTTCTGATTCTGATTCTGATTCTTAAAAGAGGTAATCTGCTGTGTACCCAAACGTATCCCGGTGACTCTGTGGTGCCCAGGCTCCTCTGGGTTTGGTTCTGTTACCAACAGCTCCTCCACTGAGCCCTCCACCACGGTCAGCATGGGAGTGGACAGCAGCTCGGACTGAAGAAAAATTTGTAGCAGACAAACATTTTAATTCCCCCACAGACAAAGATTTTACTTTAATGGATGAGTAATTCAAGTTTTTGGGTTTTTTTCTTAACCTGAATGAAGTCTCGGTAGCGCTGACGGTCCAGCTGGGCTCTCGGACCCCACACGGCAGGCCCTTTTCTACGATTCAGGATGGAGAAATGAATCCCAGCCCAGTCCCCTGCCCGACCACACAGCCCATCCAGAGCATCAACCTCCTTCACGAGCTGGCCCTTCCCTACTCCTCCCAGGGAGGGGTTACAGGACAGAGCACCTGTGGGAATATTATCAGAGAAGTCTAGTTTTCCCTGTTGGAGGAAAAAGAGCTTCTTTGTTTAGGTGTCCCTTTATCCTCACCGATGGTGTGAATTTTCTGCGTGATGAGGAGTGTTTCAGCCCCAACTCTGGCTGCCGCCGCCGCTGCCTCGGTCCCTGCGTGACCCCCGCCCACCACGATGACGTCATACTGATGTCCGGCGAGGTGACCGACATGTCTGGAAACCGGTGAGAGGAGACTGTGCAGGAAGGGAAGCTTCTTTCTCAACATGTGAGACGCACACCTGTCAGAGTAAAAGTTAAATGATGGTGTATCCCTGTTAGATACTCCATCACTTTTGTGACCCATCAGCTTTATTTCAACTCTCAACTTGGAAAAATAACTTTGTTGTTTACAGTGGGTAAAATAAGCAATGAACATGTCACCAACTTTCTAAGTAAATATATTTCTAAAGGTGCTTTTGACATAAAAAATTCTCACCAGATTTCAGTAACAACCCATCCAATCCACACATCCAAAGAAATCAAAGCATAGATGCCATGATGACAACGGCTGAAATCTGTCAGTAACCGGAAAATAATCCTGGCATTTATTGCAGATTAATATCAGCTGGTTCATTCCAAACTGAAGCTGAGTTGTTACCAAAATGGCACACAAGAAACATCTAATAATAGGTAAAAACAACGAGCTCGCTCAAGACCTTTAAAACAGTTGATACAAAGGGTCCCAAACTACCAAGAGAATATCTTCGACATCATTACATAACCCAGCTGAACTCTTGGTACAGGGCAGGATGGATCCATGCATCCATCTTTATGAACCTACCATCTGAATATCGCATCATCAGGTCAGCCAACATTTATCCAATCTTCTAATTTTGGTGAACTTGACCTCAGTTTCCTGTTCCTGACTAAAGTAACACCAGGTGTGGTTTTGTGCTGCTGCAGCCCATCTGCTTTAAGGGTCCACGTTATACCCACTGAGAGATGCTCTCCTGTGACTGTAACGAGTAGTTTGAGTTACTGTTGCCTTCCTGCCAGCTGGAAACAGTACGCCTTTCTCTGACCTCTGGCATCAACAAAGCATTTTGGCCCGAATTCTAATTTAATTTTAAAAAATTGTTATATTGAACATGTACGGCTTTGAATCAAACCGTATCCTCGCTCTCTGTTAGTAAGAGCACAACGTACAAATACGTAAACAGTTTACGGCTTCGTTTACTCAGCGCACGTGTGGATCCACAACAAACTCTCCCCTCAGGTTTGAAATGTACTTACGGTTTATTTGGGAGAAGGTGTATGGTTGTTTTTATTTCAGACTCTCTGTAGCAGAAACTGAGACTAACAGAAAGGCAAAGATCATTTAGGAAAATTACCAAACTCCTGCTACATAAGTCAAAGTATCCCCATGGAGGCCGCCATGATGTCTGTAGCTCACAACCGTAATAACTGGTTTACAGACGCACTGGGGAAAAAAACGATGCTCGGCTTGTTTCAGCCTTTCGCCTGTGCTGTTAGTGTCCTCGTTTGGTTAATGTTACAATCATGAATTAAATATAATAAATTAATAAATAAATACATGCGATCAATACAGATATGAAAAAATAATGGGAGATGATTAAATTAACAGAAACCAATGTGGTGATTTGTAAACAAAACATTAAGTGTTCTGTATGGTGACTGCCACGTTTACAGCAGGGACCACCCATCCTTGATTATATCAGCGATACAGTGGTATCGATTAAGTCCTGATTTAATCAAGTCCTGATTTAATCAATGCACACATTCTTCCACGTAAGCGCGCTCACGTCAACGCCCCCTCCCCCTTTGAGCCGGTTTGCAGTCAGCCGCGCGCGGATTCAGTCAAGCTGTCCAAGCGAGAGGAGGTGTTGACCGACCGCAGCAGGTTTTCCAAAGGAAACCTGAAAATCTAAGTTCCACGGCAGAGGACAGTAACGCCGAGCAGTAATTTTTTAACCGACGGTTCAGCGGTGTTGGATTTAAGGCGACGCGGCCGAGGATATAAAGTAAACCCCGGAGGGAGAGCGTCCGAAGTGAGCCCGAGGATCACAGCTAATGCTAACCTAGCCAGCCTTGGCTAAATAATTACACGGAAGCTGGTGTAATTTTTAATTGTCGCTTGCTTTGGCGTAGCCTGTGTGGTTGTAGAGTAGATAGCGTGGGGTAATTTGTTAAGTTATGTGTTCGATTTAATTATATTATCGAGGTGTTTTTGCTTTTACATGTTAGGCCACACGCGACTGGTGTTAACCTAGCAAGATTAGCCACAATAGCCGGGGAGGTTACACCGGCTCTGCGCTTCTTAGGGCAGCTGATAACTGCTAAAGATAGTTTGCTTTCAAAGCTACTTCACATCAGGAGATATCGGTGTTTTTAAGTGAGCTTACACTTGATACTGTCTAAGCCTTGTGCTTCGCAATGCTGAAACAACAGCAGCAACCCGGATCCGGCGGGAGAAAGGCGTCTAACGGGACATCGGGCCCTGCCGGTATGTCTTCTCCAGTCAGCGGGATCAACAACGCCAACAGGGCACCGGCTGGAAGGTAAGGGGGCTGGGATTTTTCTTTCAGGACAGTCCGGGGATTGTCCCGTGACTCAAAGGCCTACCGGTTAAAGCGCTGTTTCCCAGTGGGCGTAACCCCAAAAATAGAGCTTACCTAGAAGCCAATGGGATTCACTCTTCTTAGATTGGCATCATATGTGGACCAATCAGCACGCTCGAATCGAACCTCAACCGAATCAGCGAAGTGGCGAAAGCTAGGAGTAGCAAATCAGCATAGAGGTGATACAAAGTTTATTTGGCCTGTTTTTGGTTGAGAAGGGGCGAAAGAGAGGGGAGGGAGAAACTGTTTACATGTATAACCTCACGTCCCAAATGCTTAATAAAAACGCTTGATACAGTGGCTGTGTTAACATTACACAGTTGTTATGACCAGTACGAGGTCGCGTGTGCTGCTGATTTGTGAGATGGGCGCGTTTACTGAAGTCTTGTTAGCTCCGTCTTTGTTTTGTAACCGAGCATGTAGCAAGCATTGATACGAGCCACAGTGGCCATTCATGATGGAGTTACGTTTAGCATGCAGATTGGTCTACATAACCCTTTCATGGCTTTTCCAGTCGTATATCAAACGTCTTTGGGCAGAAATGTGTTTTTAATTTTCGATTTAGACTTCCTGTTTTCTATCTTAAGGACGCATATTAAAAAAAAAAAGACTCAGACTAAACTGACATACGTTATTTATGTCTAATTATATTTTATTTATATTAACAGTTATTATAGGGCAAATTGGATTATGAATATTACAGAGAAACCAATTAATACCCTTTCAGCAAGCAGGCAGTGAGAGTTGGGAGAAACATCCTTTTAAACAGAAGGAAACCTACAGAAACTTGCATAGCCAGGCCCCGGGGAGGGTCGACCATCTGCCTCAACTGGTTGGGGTGAGGGGAAAAGGGAGAGGGCAGGGGAATCAACAAACAGTGTGGTAATAAACACTGGGGAGAAACTTGAAGCTCTAGAGCCAGACATACCTGCAGTGAGGTGAAGGGGGATGGGGGGGGGGCCTTAATCTGTAAACAAATATTATTTCTTTAAACAATTTCTATGTTCGGATGCCAGTGTTTTTCCTTTAAGTCACACAGTTAGACTGCATGGATTGAGAATAAATTAACTGTGGAGCTTTTCTGGTGAGCAGGAGTGACATAAGAACTTGTCCTGCCACTCTGAGTAACTTTGTCTGCTTCTCAAATAACCAAATTTTTCTAGTGTGTGATGTGGACTGTGACACTCACTCCTCAGACTTTGAAAACAAGTTGTTCTCCTTCTGAACAGCAAAACCTTTCTGTTTTGTTTTTCAGGAATCGATCTTCTGCAAAGCCATCATTCCAGTCATCTCCTGTAAGTATCCCGATCCACAAAACTGCAAATACACACTACATTTTTAAAATATTATTGGGAGGGAAAATATATGGCAATACTGAGAAAATTTTTATAAATTATTAAATTTTACTCATTTAGAAGCATCGCTGGTGTAAAACCCATTTTATAGGTCAATGTATTAAGCCCTTTGCCTGTGGAGTCAGATATGAGTATGACCTGTATTTGGTAAAGTCCTCCTCTGTAAAAGGGCCATTGAAAGGTTTATCTACAGCTGCTCCTCACTCACCTGTGGCTGATTGCATTAGCTGATCTTTACTATACCTGATCCTATCCACAAAGTTACTCTGTTATGACCAGTCATCAGATTGGGGTTAAAACTGCGTGTGCGGTTATGTGATTGTACATAAGACTGTGGAGGTTGGTTAATATCTGATATGGCAGATGTAAAGGATCAAAAGTGAAAGTAAAGTCAGTTGAGTAAGAGTGAAATTAAAGAGTCAAGTTGTCCAGTCAGCGCAAGAACACACCAAGGACAGATTTAATTTTTTGAAAAACGCAACCAGGAAACAAGTCATTGTTTAGACACTGGTAGCTTCTAAAAGTGGAAAGATATTGAAATCAATCTAAACGTTGGCGTTTTTGAGGCATTTGAAAAGAGGTTTTACCCTTGCCTCGTGGATTGTTCGTCGTGTAAAGTAGCCGAGGTGGCCAGATGTTGAGTCGCGGTTCGACACTAACTTTAAATGCAGTGACACGTCTTGATAATTTATGATTTCTTCTCTCCACCACGTGTAAAAACAAAAACAAAAGTCTGTTTATATGGCACAGGACGTCACCTTTAGCATAACCTGTGCAGAAAGATTTTTTTTACCTTACCTGCTCTGGACTAATTGCAGGATTTACACACTGTCATAGTCAGAAGACGGTTTAAGCTGATGATGTAACAGGCATAGCTGCCGGGTCGGACTTAAAAAGCCAAGTTATGACGGATTAACTTAAGACCAGGAATAAGCTACTTCTTGGTGCAGAGGGCCTCTGAGGGTTAATGGTTAACTCTGTTCTAGTTTGTCAGCGTCAGCCCGCGTTAATTTAAATATATTGCGTCTTTGCAAAGCTTTGTTTTGAAAATCCTTGTTTCCCCATGTGTAGGTGTTTGAGGGTGTCTATAACAATGCCAGAATGCTTCATTTCCTCACAGCTGTTGTGGTGAGTCATTTGGCTGGTTGTTGTTTTCTTTAGACCATGTTATTATTATCATTATTATTATTATTTATTTTGTAAGCAATAGTCTTAGAGGTAAACTTACCTACTGTAAAGGCACTCTTTATTTCATGGTGGGATCTGTACACTGGTTAAATTTGTTTCACTTTTTTTAACGGGAATATGCAGTTTTTCCACAAATAATATAGCAGTTATCGATTTAATACTGATATAAACACTTCTCTGGTTAGCTATAGTTTTTAAAGACTGTCTTGTCTCTCTCAGGGTTCCACATGTGACATAAGAGTGAAGAATGGCAGTGCATTTGAGGGCATATTTAAGACTCTCAGTTCTAAGGTAAGAAGCTCAGGTCACACAGGCATGCACATCAGTTTGCCACCTTATTCGGGCAGTGCAAATAATCCTGTCAGAGTGATGGTCATCTTTTCTGTGGTTGTTTAATACTTGCTGAGCGCTGAGTGCTTTCTCAATGTCCTTAGTGCGAGTTGGCTGTGGATGCTGTACACAAACGCAGTGAGGAGGAGGGCTCAACATCAGCTCCGCCACGGAGGGAGGACATCACAGACACCATGATCTTCAGCCCCTCAGACCTGGTCACGATGATCTGCAGAGACGTGGACCTCAATTACGCCACCAGAGGTATGAAAACGCACTTGTGCCGAGGGTCAGGTCAGGGCAGGCTCTGGGTTTCTGCGATCTGGTTAAACGAATGTAAACGTGGCGCTTCTTCATTCAGTGTGAATGGCTGCAGATGTGATGGGGAAACTTTATCCACCTTGGTTTGACGTCTTCTTGCATTTTATTTTTCAGACACCTTCACGGACACAGCCATCAGCTCCAGCCGCATCAATGGAGAACATAAAGAGAAGGTTTTGCAGAGATGGGACGGAGGTGACAGCAACGGAGAGAGTTACGATTTGGAAACTGATACAGTAAGTTTCATACACTCTGTCAAGTTTCTGTGTATACAGACCGTTACTTATTGTTAACTCTTGCGCTGATTCCTTTACTACCCCATTAATCTCCCTTTTTTTGTCTCTTCAGTCTAACGGCTGGGATGCCAACGAGATGTTTCGTTACAATGAAGTCAAATATGGTGTCACATCAACGTATGATTCCAGCCTCTCAATGTACACGTAAGTTACCGCAGCAGTTTGTAAAATACGCCAAAAACTTCCCCTTAACTAGTCAGTAAGGTTATAAGTATCAGTATTTTTACTGTAGGACACATCTGACACAAACATGCAGATTAAGTCCATTTTTATTTCTCCCACCGCCCAGTGTACCGCTGGAGAGGGGCAACTCTGA